GGAATTGACAGAGTAGAGAGCGGGTTTGCAAAATAACGATCGGATGATGAGGACATAATTATTTAGAACTAAAAACCGTGGGCACATTGTCCTAATCTCCTCACCCCACCTCGGGCATGGCATTTAGGTAATGACGATGAAGGTGATTCCAAAGGATAAATGTGTTGCTTAATTTGCATCTATTTATTTGGTGTTTAATTTGCACCGACAACTTTACCGTTTTTTTAATTCTTATCGTCAGTTAAGAACGTACTAGTTTGATGACAAGCTTGTAAATGTAGAATAATTAGCATTGAAGTTTTCTCAGTTGTCGGCATTGTGCATTGTACAGAAAATTGATAACAACTGGAAAATGTGTAACAAATTCAATACAAAGGAACTAGGATTGAGTAACTGCCAACCTTGAAAGCACTATACTTGGAAACTTTGTTGATTTTATGATAAAATGGGATAAATAAATAATTTGGAGCAGCATACTAACAATGCGATGACGCCAGCGGTCTCGCTCCGATGTTTATGAAAAGAAGGTAAGTTTATTAGCATTAGGAAAATAATTTAACACGTGTTTCAGGATTTTTCATATGCCTAGCTTAAACGAAATTATAATGTAATCCATGATCGAGAGTTGGCATTTGTACAGCGAGATTTTTCTCGCCAGAGAGAAAAACACAGATTCTCGCATACTTAAAATGCGACTACATAAAGTTATTTGCTCTCATTTTGACCGTACCAATTCCACATTGTTCACCTATTGAATCAGGTGGACCCGTGTGTTTGCATTTGCCTGAATCCACGCATTTTCAGCTGTAGAGGAATTTTCGAATAAATTATTGGCCAAAATCAGAATTTTTCAAAATGCTGAACAAAAATACATTATTATTAGGTATTATTAATTAGGCTAATGTGGCAAACTCCTGCTACTTTGATTTCACAATTATTTCCATAAAAACTATCATTTTGAGCCAGAGTACCGCCTATTCCCGGTGTTTCGACACTGATCCGAACCCATAATTTTGCCATACACCCTAAAAAATCCGGTAGTCACAAATGTATGTGCTCTGTACCGGTGATGATGTAGTAATGAGTTCCTAATAATGGACAGTGGATAAGTGTTTCATTACCACAGACCACAATACATATGTATTCCCAAACGTGATGCCTATTAGATATTACCAGTGCTGATGGACTCATGTATGTCTTTAAACTCACCGCTCGTATTGATCTAATACCGGATTCCTAAGGGTGTACATACTTATCTAAGTGCCGTAGATTTACAGATAACCATATTTTTACACCTCATGGTCTTGGTGGCTTTCAGCCACCACTTTCTCCCAAACCCACAATGAAACTCGTATTTGCAACGTTGCTAAAAATTATTATTTCTTTAACAACAATTCCCCAAGGTTTTTCTGCACAGGGAAAACCAGCACCAAGAATTTTAAATTTGAACCCTACTCAGGTATACTCTCACCTGGAAAAGTTAATATCCCCGTTCCCACATTGTTTAGTGCATTTAATAAATTTCCCATATCTGAACATTCCCGAGACGCAAGTTCCCTTAGTTTTAGAGAGATATGGTAAAATTCGAGATTACCATGGAAGCCGTGTACCAAACTATAGAAAAAAATTGATGCACCGGCAGAACGATGGTTTTCGGTGGAAGTGTGTGTTTCATGGATTTTTGTACCCTAAAACTCCAAAAACTTGGAAAGGCGCCAGAGATGTCCTTAGTTTCCCACCTTTTTATACGGAATATTGGACCGGAAACTTTGTCTGGGAACCAATGGCACATCTTTATCGACATCAGGATTACTATGTTTGCTTCACGGGCGAACATTCTCTGAACAAATGGATCCAGTGGGTTATAGGAGTTCAGGGGGGTCAATCTTTTATGGGTATATATATATCTAAGTATTAGGGCATCCAAGTTCGGGTTCTCCGATTTTGCATAACCGGATAAAACCCGGTTTTCGATTTAACCGAAACCCGATTCCACAATTTTAAAAAAGCTTGTGTAAAAAAACATGTCTCAGCACCTTCGAAAACCGGTTTCCGATTTTTAATAACACAAACTGGTTTAAATCTAATACGTTTTCTTGTTGAGACAAAATTTAATCGTTGTGACATACTCACTTTCCAGTTTAGAGTTACCTAGTTTCAATTTTGTATCAAATTTTTGCTTAGTAAATTCAGTTGTATTCTTTCTGAAATTTGCACTGAAATAGGTTTTGCACAGAATTGAAGCCCAGTTTCTTCAAATTTCCCAAAATCTAGTTCATCAAGAACCACTTAAAATAGGAGAAACCGATTTTGGATGCCCTAACCCCACCTCTTGATTTTGATTTCATGTATTACACTGTTCTCCACTTTAAAATTCACTCTTTATAGCTCAATCCCACATCGGAATCGTGTATCTCTCCAAGCTCAAGAATTCTCCCGAGTGGCACATCTTTTGTCGGACCTGTTCCCCGTCCAGCTACACATTTCATCACGTCTCAAATCTAAAACGTTTAGTGTCGACTTTCACCCTATTCTCCGTCACCATTCATCCAGACAAGATTTTCCAAATTTCCGATATTAATTCCCAAACACTGCCATTCTCTGGACGAACAAAATCACCAAATCTTCACCACATCACGATCACCTCGAATCTCAACTTGCTCACGTTTTCTGCAATTTACCCCAATCACAGCTACATTTTTGAGGTAATGTCACTCATCCCAGATTCCATCGAACCGAGACGAACCACAATTCACATCAATTATGTAACCAATGCACCAATTGTTTCTTTGGGTACGAGATCATACCGATTTTTAACTTGCGACGGATTACTTGATAGAAACAAAGAAACGTTAAATTTTCTCGCTTTAATTTCCGCGTATTACCCCGAAGTATGGATTTTTCTACTAGTCGGAGCCACATTAACGGCACTAATTTTCAACAAGATAGCTTCGAACTCGAGTCAAATCCCTGCTGTCATGGTTCCAATTGCCCTCCTCCTCGAACAAGGCGTCGACCTGGCGGGAATTATGAAAGACAAGAGAAACTTAGTAACCATGGTTTTGGCGCCGTGGCTTTTAATGAGTATCGTCCTCACCAATGGGTATAAGGGGCAAAACGTGACAGATTTAATTTCCCCGCGAAAACCATTACTCGTATCAAAATTCGGAGACTTGTTAGATCAAAATTTCACCCTGTACGTCCCCGTACATAAACTGTACCATGCAAGCGTTAAAAAATTCCTGGAAACTTTCGGGCGGAAGACAGACTCAAAATTTCATAACGCCATTTACAAATACGTGACTAAATTTCCACCTGGGCCGCGGGAAGCCTCCTTTTTCGAAAAATTAAAATCTAGAATCTTCATAATTAAGGAGAGACACAACATGACCCTTTTAGACGGGCTGATTTCCTGCAACAAATCAGCCATTGTTCTTGATAATGACGGTGAAATGGATGAGTATGAAGCACAGGTGAAAATTTTGCGACAAAATTTGCACATTGTGAAAAGTAAGGAACGATTGTTTATGCAGAGTCTTGGTTGGGTAGTATCGTTCGGGATGGATGCTAATTTGGTGTCAAGATTTCAATCCATACTTCAAGCCGGGTTGATTACCGTTTGGAAAGAACATGCCCAATTTTTGAGAATAATCAAATTTCGTAGAGTTAATCATTTGGGGAGTCAAATGGGACGGGAGGTAAAAGCTTTGCAACTTGGGGGTAATTTTATGGTGGTATTTTGTCTTTATGCCGTTTTAGTTTCATTTTCTTGTGTATCGATTGTGGCTGAAGTTTTGTTTGGTAGATGCACGAAAACATAGGTTTACATCATACCTGTTCAAAAATTCAGTTTCAATTCAAAGTCGGTCATCCCCGTTTCAGATTGAAGATTTTCATTTACAGTCAGTCATTTTCGGTCAAATTCATTGCACTTCACTACATTTGACTTAATTCCTTACTTTGCCCCATGTATTAAGCTCTGAGAAATTAAAACAGTAAAAAATCCTTCCATTCATCTGACATGAGGCATTTTCATTCAAATGACAGGAATTTTATTTTAATTCATGATCATAATCAGTCTAATGAATGAAAGTGAACAGGTATGGTTCTTATGATGTGTGTAAAATCTTGACGAAAACAACGTGCAAAAAATTCAAAGGTTTATAGAGAAAGTTGAGAACTATAACTACAACTTAATTGCATGAAAAAACGTTTATTTCAATAAGTCACACGAAGTTCTAGCTGAACGGTGGCATTTTTTAACATGCATGACAAAGTATTTCACCGTAAAAAATCTTATATTTACCTATTTATTCCCACCCAATAATGGTGTTAATTAGGAGTTGAGTTCGGATTTGTGCCTAACTTATTTCTGATTGGTAAATGTATCGTTATCATAATGCTTGTTATTACCGTGTCGGTAGAGTTGTAAAAATATGTATTTCAATCAGTTATGTTCTAATACGTTTACAAGTTTTCCAAAAGTGTCTGCATAAATGAATGCAGAGTAGTTAAACATTAGTTACACACACCAGTATCAAGTTTGAGATAAGGTATCTAAGCTTATCGATTTTGTTTTGTGCCACCCGTGCTCAAATATTTGTTCCCCGTCTGCAACATTATCTGAACATCCGATCGAGATAAGTATCACGTACTTTATTCAGTTCCAACCAGTCAGCCGTGGCAAAATAACATTCACACTTCTCACTTTTTGTCGGAATCCGACTGATTTAAAGTTTAAAATGCACAAATTTGCAAGTTTCACTATTCTTATCTTCATTTTGGGGAAAAGTGAATCTGCAAATGTTTCACTTTCACGACATGGTGTGCAAGTTAAGCCAGAGATTGGTATAAAGGGCGTGGTTACAACCGTAAGATGTGGCGGAGTTGGGACCCCTCTCCAACTCCGAATTGATGGGTGCGAAGGATACTGTCAATTCAGGGCGGGACAAGTGTACGAATGCGAGGAGGACTTCATGCCAAGTAAGCTACGCAAAAAATTACAAATTTCAATTTTTTATTTAGGACATTGTTTCTGAGTGTTTAATTGTTGACGGATTTAGCGTTGCAAAAATAATTCGTATTAAATCTTGACCTATGCACGTAAATTAAGTATATGGCGTAATAGCAAGCTGAAGTTTTTGCACTGTTAGAAATCCTCTATGGGCAAATACATATTGATTTCTATGTATTAAACTGATACTGTGTGGTACTTATATGTAGCTTATATGTATGAATACCAATTGATAAATATTATTTTACTGATAGACTTCAAGAATGTGTTACAGCACAATTTTGCGAAATATGTTCCTAAATTTTAAACTTGTCCAAAATTTTATCAAAATTGTGTATGCTTAAAAATGTCATTTTTATTTTTAAAAAACCGCAGGTTCTGCCGCTCCATCGCTTACTCTCGGGGTCGAAATCTGTTATCGTGGCGTATGCTACGTAATCTTAACCGCGGTCATTCCCAACTCCTCCATTCAACCGGGTTTCAGGTACACAGCAAAATATTCCATCGTTCCAAATGACGTCTTTGCAGGGCAAACTATTCGATTCTTTGCATCAATTTGGCACACGGATAACGGAATTGTGGAAGTCTGTGTGGCCGCGGATGCGGATATTTTACCTTTGTGAAAAATTTTAACGAACAAAACTGTAAAATAATAATTATACGAATAAAGCAAATAAAAATGTGGGATCTTTACATTGTTTTTTTATCTTGTCGTATTTCAAATGTACAAATTAAGCACACTAGATTTTTCTTATATTCAGAGTATTCAGTACATATGTACAAGTTGGCATATTTAGTTAGACAAAGGCAAGGATCGCAAAAAAATTTCGGGGTGAAAATTAATTTCGAACTTGCAATTTTGCTTTCGAAATTATGTTGCGTTGTGTACATTCGAACTATTTAGCAACAAATACCATTATTAGCTCGCCCTGCGTAGCACGAGAGCTATTGAATTCCTCCTGTCTGTCCGTCCGTGTGTTCTCGAGTTTTTTTGCATCAATTGATGCTAATTAATAAGTCCCACGACCATTTTAACCCTAATTTGTAGCACAATTGGTATCAAACAATTGTTAACGCAAAATGGTGCGAAATAATTAGAGGGATCGATGTATTCCGCACCAATGGTTAGGATTGACTGAAAGTTCTAGTTAGCCTTCGCAGACATAACTTAACCTTGAAATCGTGTCAAAATTAAGTCCCAATTTTAACCATTTCGGCTGCACCATTGGTGCAACATTATATCAAATTTCTGTTATTCCCCGTTTATTCTGTACCATTGGTGAAAATTATATGATAATTATGCATCCATTTTGTCCGCTTATTTTGCACCAATGGTGCAAAACTATATCCTAACCATTATTCCAGGGTGAGCTACTTCTAACGCTACAACGTTAGAAGTAATACAAATCCCCTTGTCCATTATTGAATCAATTAGTTGCACCATTGGTATCGAAAAATCCATGAGGCAATTGGTGCGAATCAATTCAGAAAATCGATAGTGAAAAGACTACAAGTATGGAATAACTAGCACCTTTGGGGTCGAATAATCGGTTAAAGAAAATGATGCGAAATAATTGGGATCATCTATGCAAAACGCACCAAAAGTACAGAATAACGGGAAGAAATAATTACACAATTTTGATCAATCAGTGTGCAAATGGTGCGACTCAGGTCGGACAATGGATCGACGGAGGACTACAATTTTTAAATAAGTCGCACCGTTAGTATCGAACAATCGGTTGTCCAAAATGATACAAAACAATTGGGAGAATCGATGCAAAATGCACCAACAGTGCAGAATAACTGGAAAAAACAATTACAAAAATTTGACATCCCGAATTAATTCGTTCGTGCCAAAAGTCCAAATTTCGTCAAAATTAAATATTTAATTTCTCGCGTTATCCTACACTATTGGTGCAAAATTATATGATTACCATAAATATCTAATTTCCGTGATTGCTCTGCACCAATGGTGCAAAATTGTATTACACATATGCACTTATTTGGTCGGCTAATTCTGCACCTTTGGTGCAAAATTATAGCAAATCATTATTGCAGGGTGAGCTACTTCTAACGTTACTACGGTTTATTATTTTTTGAACAAGCATCCCATAATAAAAATTATTAACTGAAATATGTATACACAATGTGTATACATATTTCAGTGTATTGTATATGTATTGTATATGTATTGTATTGTGTATTGTATTATGTGTATTACACATAACTGAATAACATATACGGAAAATGGGACGAATCAGAGATAACAGTTACTTAACTATGGAAATTTTATTATAAAATTGAACAACGATACAACGACTTTGAAAAGTCATCATCCCCAATTTTCCTCCTTTTTGGTTTCCCCCGTCCATGTGCACTGTGCGTGGGAGGATAACCGGTTCTAACGTCGTGGTGAATTATGGTGTGTCCAGCAGGTGGCTTAATTTGTAAATCAATAGCGACATTATCCGCTGCAAATAATTGGAATTTTTCCTACTTTGTCGCACCTATTAGCATTTATTCATGAAGTTTTTTTACCTTTGGCCACTCCTGGATGGATGGATGAGTTGACGTCAATCCATGACTGGAGATTGGGTTTGTAATTTTTAAGCTGTCCTTTTTCATCTTCTTGAACTTCTTGGTCAAAATTAGGCTGCTTTCGCTTAACTGCAGGACGAGGTGAGGAAATCATAATGGAATTTCTCGGCTTCGGTACCGGTGGACTGTTCATTTCTTTGATTAAACATAAAATATGGGTACAAAAGTATTTTACATCCGGGACAAATACGTATCAGGTTCATTAAGTTATTTAATATATTTACCTAGCGTTTGATATAAATTTCTAGGTTTTGGAATAGGAAAATATAATTCATTGCTGTTGCCAGGAAGGGACAGAAGACGTCTCGGAAGTACCTTGGGCCTTTCTGGTACTACGATATCCATTTTGGTAATTTTTTAAGTTAGTCCCAAGAAATCTGGCTGAGCTTGACGCTCTCGGACATGAACTGGTAAAAAAAATATCGCGAACTTCGTTAAGCGTATGCATTTTATTTGGGTTTTAGGTATTTACATACATAATACATTCACCTTTACACATTTTTTGTGAAGATCAGTTAAATAATATGTAAAAATGATTACATAATAAATATACATACATACAACACGCAAATACTGAACATGAAATGAGCATTCTTGACAAGATGGCGTATGTATGTATTTTCATATGCAAACGTTAATGAACTGCACAAACATATCTGTATAATCAGAATTCAGATAAGCTGTTTCTCGTTTATCCACCCAGAATTGATTTCCTGGTCAATATTAGATCTTATGTACCCAAACTATGATTTTTTGGCTACAAATTTACAAAGTTCTGTACATACTTTAAGTTTGTGAACACAAAATTGCAAATTTGCACTATAGTTAACAGTTAGTTAACAGTTGTTAAGATGTTCAAAACTTGAGAACCTCTACTCTTTCGACTCGTAATTTGTGAAAATGTAAATTTTGCATAACTTACGGAAAATTTTTCTTTGGATGGATCTGAATGTAAAACCATGCAACTAAATATATATGCAAATAAGGAACATCCACCATTAATTCTAGGATAAATAAATAAGTGTAATAATTCCATGTAAATGGCAGAAGCGAAGGTTCATGTTTGCGTAGTTTATTTAAACAGTGGAGTCAGCGATGTTCACGTTTGATTGTTTAAGGTTTGCTTCCGCATTAACGTTTATTCGTCAAGGTTTTGTGAACATGTACATTAATGCGGAAGATGTTTGTGTGTACAATCCTAAATCATAAACAAAACAAATAAAAATATGAGGTAAAATAAAATATCCGGTATTTATGCCCGGGCAGATTGTAAAGTATTTAATTTGTCAAGTTACAGGTCGTCGACCGATTTCCAGTTCACTTCCATCTAAGTATATGCTGTTGTCAGATTTATTTGCTGGCAGTAGCTTTTGATCCGCATTTCTACAACCGTCGCAATTTCTTCTAGCTGGCGCGAGTAACTTTGTGTCTTCGTCCAAGACCCAAGTCAGGTTCATACATACATAATTGCTGCAAATATGACATCCGACTCAGTTGGTAAGACTTATTTCGTAACAAGTGTGATTTGTAGAACACAACTCAATCCAATGTGTGTATGTACCATGTTCTGTAAATATTTCAGGCCGGAATTTTGCAAAATGCATTTCTAGCCACAGACAAAAAACAGATTGTGGGGAACTTACTTTACTAGAAAACGATGTGGTGGAGCTGTTGCCGACATGTTTTGGAAAAGAGAGAGGCTTTTGCTTGGTCCGGTTCGAATCGAAGGAGGGACTATTTCCTATTGACAAGCTAGATCCTATTATCCAACCAAAAGATGACGAAGTCGACGAGCCGTATCCTACATTACTTGATCCAATTATTATACCGTCCGAAATCCCAATACCACTTCCGGCCCCTCCTGCCACGCCTATTCCTCTCAACCTTGCCGTTCTCGTACCACCCACAGATCTACAATTTCCAATTACTCCACTCATTAAGTCATCGACTATCCTAAATCTGCCCATGACAGATCAGAGTTTAGAACACCAGACCACACTAGCTCAAACAAGTACATACACATATACCACAAATACAATATTGAAATTTAAAACTTACTACAACTACAACGTAAATATTGAAATTTAATTCTTTAGAGGTGGACAACCTACAGAGCCCAGCGGAAATTTTAAGCAGGCTGGTCGCCCTTGGAGCAAAACCCGTCTCCCCAATATTTAAACAAGAACTGGAAGGTTGTATCAAACCAAAACATACTCCTGAAGAAGCCAAATCGGAAAACAAAATCCAGACTTCAGGTTGTCATTTACATTTATTTGCTTTGCACACGCAAATTTGGTTCACGTATAATAATACTTTGTAAAGTAATGCCTTTACCAACACACCTAAAAACAACGTTTTTGACAAACAATTGCACCACTAATTTTAAATCAAGTATTTAAACTATACAGCCAGAGTAATATTAATTTTATAAATAAGTTTGTCCTGGATTTGGTATGATTTATATGTTACCTCATATTGAATCAGCGTGTATCTATTTTGCAGAAGAGGCTAAGATTATAAAAATTTTAAATGGCTTACTATTACGCAGATGTATCCATGCCAATGCCACCACCACCACCTCCACTACCTCCAATTATCCCCATCGAATCATGTCCTGCCGTAGGGGACATTTCAAAACAATGCAACACAGAAGCTGACGAAGGCTATGAAGGTGAAGAGTCGAACGGTACTATCATAAAGAAATCCTCATTCTTGGCAGAGCTGCAAAGAAAAATTACTGATAAATCCATGAATCACGACATTGAACAAAAAATCATCTCAAGTTCTCTCAAAGAGAAAAACCCTCTGCTTCTGGATTCTGAACTGCAACAATCTCTAGAAAAACAAAAAGCCAAGGAGGATAGTTCACATGCTGCTGTAGATATTGACGCTAAGTTAAAAGCTTCAAAACCGCATGATGACGACAAACAAATCCCAAATTTCGGGATACATAATTTGAGGAAAACAGCTAACAACAAAAACCCAACCCCAAAAAACGGTGACGCTGAAAATGCAACTCAAAAGACCACGACAATCTTGAGGGCGTCTGCAAAACCAATAATCCCATATAGAAAGGATATGGACAATATTGACAAAGATTTGAAGGCCAAGCTTCTTAAGAGACGAGATTCCATGTCATTACATGAGATTTCAACGGCTAGAGTACCATTGCATGACAAAACAAATTCTATCGTCGAACAGAAGCCTCCAACGCTGTATGAAGATAACAAAATCCATATAGAAAATATAATATGCAATACAGAAAAAGCGACTTCAACTAACTTTGTTGAGGTATACCAAACTTGCACCCTCATAGATGAGCCATGCAAAGCTCAAGGGGCCAACGAGAAATTAAAAATTCCAGTAAAATTAACAGAAGAAGCCACCAGTTCTACTGTCTTGCAAGATTTTGCTCCTACTCCACCCCCGCTTCCTGACAACGCTTGTCAAAGGTATTACAAATATGAAACTTTCAATACGGGTGTACTAAGCTCTCTAACGTACTTATACCAAATTCGCGTCAATGTAGATATGATAAATTCAATTATAACAAATCATATTTGCAAGAGATGCATCTTTAAATGTGCATGTTTCAGTAGATACTTGAATACCGATTGGGGACGACGCGTAGTAAACTGGGAAAATGTAATAAGGTTGCCTTTCTTCCTCCAAGGTTGCACATATATTTGCCAAACCTTGTCTTTTGTCAATTTCATCCTAATTAAATTTCTGATCGATTGACCCTGGTTTGCTGAATATCTTAGAGCATGCGTTGGAAGACGTCCATTGCAAGGGATATATTGCTTTATGTCTGCCCCTAAAATTTTATATGGTTTACTATTTTAGCACAAAAATGTCCCCTACACGTCCGAAGCCACTAGCTCCTGCTGCTTTGTCATCGTCACGTAATTCCGATGGAGACGCTCGTTCAGACCTTATGGCCCAAATTAGGGGAAAAGTGGTGCTGCGGTCGATCAGCGAAGAAGAAAGAAATTCAGGATTCAGAGGTGACACTACCGTTGAACAGAAATTTAAAAAATGTGACCTGCTGAACAACGCACTTGCCTCAATGCGGTATAAAATTGCTGATAGTGAATCTAGCGACGAAAATGAGGAGGATGACGAAGTCCAGGAGGAAGCAGACTGGAATTAAGTTCCCTTTGGTAAACTTCATAATAGGTTTTTATTAAAAGCGTATTAAAACTAAAACACTTGCATCAGTTTCAATATTATAATTTATATATACGAAATTATGTCCTCAAAAAATGCACTTTATATATGTAAATCCGGACCTTCTTATTAACCGCAGTTTTCATATTTTAAGTAAAAACTTGTATAGCTTATTTACTCAGATGGACTAAGGCTAAAGAATAAAACAAATTCAAGTAACAGATGCTTGTCTCCATATATTTTACATAATTATGTAACGACATGGTTATTACACGTAAATAAAAAAATAGATACATCCATACATTTGCTAACATTCCTAAGCTATAATAAATTATGTACGTATTTACACTCTTAAAAATAGTATTACATGCTCATATGAAAAGCAAATCCATTCTCAGTTCTGAATTAGGTAAACTCTACGAAATCCATAGTAAGTTTTATTTATCAAGTTATTGTTGCCCTGGATTTGGTGGAGCTTACTTAATTTAGAAGTTGAAGAGAATTTCTCGGAAAGGTAACATTATTTATTTATCAGATTGTAGTTATTAGTTTATTATTAATTTGATTTGTATTTACATATATTCGCTTATTTATCTTGCAAATATTTTGCTCATTTCCTTTTTCGGAAATATTGGAATCAAAACAAGAATAACGTGGTAATTATTAAATAAGAAAGAAATGTCTTCCATGAAACGTGCTTAAGGTTTTCAATTTCTATGATATTTCAGCCCTTTGTTTCAAAATTTAGAATTGAAAAAAATATATAAACCTTGTCAACTTGATAACTACCTACATAAACATACATATTCACTATTTTAATAACTATTTAATAATTTTCTACATCTCAAGCGTATGCATTCTACTCTGTGTCCACTCAAAAAGGAAAACTTTTCTCCACAAACATAGCAGTCACGCTTATTTTTGCCCTCATGAATTTTCAGATGTCTGGAAAAATCTGATTTCGAGTAAGTCTTGTACTCACACTGGTCACACGATTTGATTGCTGCGTTGCTCTCAGGGTGCACCACTTTGATGTGACGTCTCAGATTGGACAGGACTGAGAATGCCCCGTCACAAAGTGTGCACGGATAATTCCTGGGCGGGAAATTTTGATGTCGAAGTTCGTTATGCATTTGCAATCCGGGTTTACTTAAACAGGTCCGTGTGCAGATGCTACATGGAAACTTAGGCCGGGTAGATTTCTCGGTGTGGATGTTCTGAAATATTAATTGAATATACACTATTATCGTTTTTATTTTATAATTAGACGATTTTTCTTACGATGAAATATATACTAAAAAGGGTATAACTTTGATGAACAAACCATAGAAATACACTCTTAATAACTCGGTGTTAATCGTCACCGAAAGGTGTACACACATACATGGCTTCACCGAGCGGTGATAAATGTCTAATGTTTCTCACTTAATGGTGGTAAAATTAGTATCATCCAGTAATTCGTCACCAGCCAGGTCAGAGTCATCCCCACGCGATGAAAAATATTATCACCACTTGGTGAAGTCACATGTATACACCGCACGGTAAAGATTAACACCGGACGTTAAGAGTGTAACTTTTGAAAAGCGAATGTACGCTAAATTTTACAGTTCAATTTGCTTAAGATAGCATATAGTAGTAGAGAGGGATAAGCGTCTACGCCAAGGATTTCTCGCCCACTCTATTTCTTATGGGGAAAAACTTGGTTAGGGTTTCTCGCCACGGATTTCTCGCCACGTATATTTCTTATGGGAAAAAGACGGATAGTGCTTCTCGCCACATGCATTTTTTTAATGGGAAAAAGACGGCTCCTCGCCATATATGTACATTTCTTACGGGGTATAAGATGGAACCACAATAGTTGGTTGGAGGAAAATAAATTTTGGTAGGGCACTATAAATTTGACCCCCCAATATATATCTGTAAAGAATTAATACCCACATACTTATGACTACACGCGAAAATTTTGCTTGCCTTCCTTTATCAGGATTAGCGACATGGTCTGATTCAAGCAAAAATTCTGGATCACTAGAGGGGTCCCGCTGTCTATAAAATTCGACCCAAATTTTATCTTGAGCCTTCCGCATGATTTCACCTGTTTGCAGATCACGGATCGTCTCCCATATTGCAAAGTCGTCCTGTCCAGTTTCTTCAGGGATTTAACCGACCCATTGAACACCCAGGATGCCAGCGTGAAGACGACTATATTCGTTCCTACGGAGTCCACAAGAATCATGGGGAATATGAGGAAGACTGGCATCCCAATTTCGTCATGCATAGTGACGCTCACATATTGCGTAAAGATTTGTATCATGGGTACTCCACAAACAATGTATGGAACGATCTTTGCCATCAAATATGCATTCATCATTTTTTCAATAATTTGAATCATTCGGTATAGTGACACACATCTCTCGTCTTGTGCTTGGGAATCAGGTTGCAATGTTTTTCTGACAATAACCAACAAAATTATTTCAGCTAGTGATCAATATTAGATAAGGTCGACCTTGTAATACATTTCTAATATTTAGTGATGTGTTTATAACAGTAGTTATTTCTACAATGATTTGTTTGGGTACATTTTGTTCACGATAGCACCGATTTTACCTCTCAAGAAGCTGGAGGTAAGACAGATTTGCGGATGATGCCACCCGATCAATCGCACCCCATCAATCGCACCCCATCAATCGCACCCCGGCTAACGCACCCCACCATTGCCACCCCTAGGATGATGCCACCCCCGATCATTCGCATCCGAGCAATCGCACCCCTGTAGATGCCACCCCTTATCAATCGCACCCCTAGGAGTATCCCACCCCCGATTTTGTGAGATTTTGACAAATTTTCGGGCACAAATAAATGAGTGTAAATATGCGATATGTTGCTGAATTTATTGGGGTTATAAAACAATGCTAGGATTATCTCATGAGTGAGATTTTGAGTTACCGTCATCGTTTTAAAATAATGGACACAATCCTTAGAATTCATGAAGGATTTACACATTAATCCTATTACTAGTAAAAATAAAGCTGAACTGATTAATTTGTAGACCTAATTGTTTATATTTTGACGATATTTGAATTTTTACTGAGATTTATTTTCGTTGATATTGACTTATGTGTTTCAATTTTTACGGAGATTTAATTTTTTTATAGATTTTTTGTCGAAATATGAATTTAATTTATTAAGCCTGATGATATTTGAATAAATTACACGCCTTAGGGAAGCATTAAGAAAGTAATATGTACATACATAGATACGTACACGTTTGCTTTATTTTTACTAGTAGCAGGATTAATGTATAAATCCTTCATTAGGATTGTGTCCATTATTTAATAGCGATAACGCCCTACCAGCACAACCTGTCCGGTTCCGGTACATGTTGCTAGCGCCGATTTTGTACCGAGAAATGGGGCATACCGGTACAAAATCGGCGCTAGCAACATGTACCGGAACCGGACAGGTTGTGCTGGTAGGGCGTTATCGCTATTAAATAATGGACACAATCCTAATGAAGGATTTATACATTAATCCTGCTACTAGTAAAAATAAAGCAAACGTGTACGTATCTATGTATGTACATATTACTTTCTTAATGCTTCCCTAAGGCGTGTAATTTATTCAAATATCATCAGGCTTAATAAATTAAATTCATATTTCGACAAAAAATCTATAAAAAAATTAAATCTCCGTAAAAATTGAAACACATAAGTCAATATCAACGAAAATAAATCTCAGTAAAAATTCAAATATCGTCAAAATATAAACAATTAGGTCTACAAATTAATCAGTTCAGCTTTATTTTTACTAGTAATAGGATTAATGTATAAATCCTTCATTAGGATTGTGTCCATTATTTAATAGCGATAACGCCCTACCAGCACAACCTGTCCGGTTCCGGTACATGTTGCTAGCGCCGATTTTGTACCGGTATGCCCCATTTCTCGGTACCGATTGTATACCGATTTCGTGCTGGTACAAGGAAATCGGTATCTTACTGGCACAGTTTTGATACAGGTGGAACCGTACATATAGTACCGATACCTGTTTTGTATAGTGTTGCAGGTACAGTCCCGGTACCCAAAATTTGTTCCTAAACTGTGCTGGTAAGGTACAGATTTCCCTGTACCAGCAAGAAATCGTTATACAATCGGTACCGAGAAATGGGGCATACAGGTACAAAATCGGCACTGGCAATGTGCTAGTAGGGCGGTAACTCAAAATCTCACTCATGAGATAATCCTAGCATTGTTTTATAACCCCAATAAATTCAGCAACATATCGCATATTTACACTCATTTATTTGTGCCCGAAAATTTGTCAAAATCTCACAAAATCGGGGGTGGGATACTCCTAGGGGTGCGATTGATAAGGGGTGGCATCTACAGGGGTGCGATTGCTCGGGTGCGAATGATCGGGGGTGGCTTCATCCTAGGGGTGGCAATGGTGGGGTGCGTTAGCCGGGGTGCGATTGATGGGGTGCGATTGATCGGGTGGCATCATCCGCACACCGTAAGACAAGAGCGAGCTAATTCCGGCAAAAAGATTGTATGTAATTGGTGCCGTTCCAATGTAGCAGAAGCAAGCGGAAATGTATGTTTCCAATAGTGGGATTAATATCACTAATCCATTCCACCGTATTGCTGAACAATTCGGCGACATGGACAGGAGAAACGGAGGTCTGCAAGGATCTATTAGAATCAGCGCAAGGATGGCTAACGGTATCAGGTAATAGTTCTGGTTCAGCACGTGGAAAAACATGAGCATAGCTTTAGTTTGCAGTGATGTTTCCAGTTTTTCTTCACCTTGAGAAAGTAAGTAAATCTTAAGCGTAATGAACTAACACAATGATAATAAAAAGAATTGTAATGTGAGGATTTAAATAAGTCTACAACTTGCACACATACCTTGCATTATGTTATCCTCGAAATTCAGACAAGTATTGATCATTTGTATTTGAGCCTTGTCCAAATCATAGTTCCAACAAGACCCCATTATTCCCAAGAACATTATTCCGAAGACGAACCCTTGAAACTTTTTTACCAGTGGCATCACCGTGAAATATAAGAGGCAAGAGACAGGCAGTGTGTATAAAAGCATAATTAGATTGAGTAATTTGAACATTTTTTTCCCAACGGGGTTATTGATGGAAACAAATCGTTTCAATATAGGGTGAAATTGGAATGGGTAATATTTAAACAGTTTGAGACAATGGCGGTAGTGTTCTATGATAAGGGGAAGGAAATGTGTTGAATACATTTCGATGTTTGGAAGTGAATCAAATATTTTTTATTTATTTAAGCTACATATAAATAAATGCAACTTGTAGTCAGAAAAGCGGTAAAGGAACCTTTGAGACGCACTGTATATAAATATGGTAAAGTTATTGGTCTTGACAACCTTACATGCGTGTTCTTTACGTAAGCAACCTTACGTGTGAAAAATATCAAAGCATTTTTTCTTTTTTCCCAATTTTGTCTGAATCGTGGCGTTTGTTCATTCGCTAAACAAAATATTTCAAGGCATGTGTCTGTCACCATGATCAAGTAGACGGAAGTGAGGAATAGATATATACTAACTTCAAACAATTGAACTACGTAGAGGTGGAATATTTTATATCAGGCATGTTGATTTTCCTTCAAGTTTAAAATATTAATTGTAACATCCGTTTCCTGTAGAGTATCGATTATTCATGAAACCCTTACATAAATAAATTTCAAGGTAATTTTATTTTCTATACATTACTTGTATTTGGCAGCCCCGACCAAAAATATTAAGGCAAGTGGGAATATATGTAAGTGGGTTGTAAATGCATATTAATTAAGGAGGATATATATATCCTGAGAATGATGTGAAGTAGTTAGCAGAAATATGACTTTTCGAAGCTACCTCTCTGTCACCATTTCTTATTTAGAATCTCTGTATTTCGAGTAAGTCCATACACGTAGCTAGTAATACATAGGTATTACGACGTGGTGATTGCACTGCAACCTTTCAGTTCAGTCACATACACGTACCCGATCGGTGATAATCCGGTGATAGAATTTCCTAGAATCTACAACATATTTACGCGAATGTGTGTTTACTTGTCGCGAGTTATGACCACAATGACAGAATGAGTGCTCGGTTGCTGCTTAAATTGTGAGCAGCGGGTACCTCACCCAAGTACCTTGCTCAGTTGGCCTTCGTACCCCAACCAGTCTTTGACCTTGGCTAGACTGGTTAATTGAATTAATTATGTGGATGCGACGTAATTCGCGTAGTGTAAGCTATCGGCTGTACAATCAATGTAATAGGCTTATGGAAAATTTTGGTGACGTTTGATTTGTCGATATCTACTGATTAATGTACCTTTGCCATGGGCAATGTTACTCTCTGCAAAATGCATATCACAACCTGTATAGTATGTATTAAATTGCGAAAAAATCAAAAAGTTTAAGTATTCCTTTGAACAAATGTGTCGGTGCGTAAGCATTCAAGAAAGGTTTCGGATTACATATTCATGCAATGACAGTCGAATCGAATTTCCGAAACGTTTGCTTAACTATATTGGTATGGTTATCAGGAATAATTTAATGGGACAATTCAATTCAAATGGACCCTGATGTAGTTTAAACTTTACGTATGCTACGCTACGATACTAACTAAACTATTATTTGTACACTCAGAATGTCTAATTATACAATTTCTGCTTTTGCACTGTACACGACCATGCGCTCCTCAGAATATCTAAAATAGGAATTTCGATATTGTTTAAAAACATGAGCACCACCCCACCCGGTAAAGCCAGCGATTAATAAAATCGCTAAAATAAGAAATATCCTAATTTTGGCGGGAGATTGTTCTTCTTCATTTAAGCGAATCTCGCCATCGTCAATCTGAGGGTGGCACGGGTTGGTAATTTCAGCTTCAAATCTGGTCCGTGATGTTGTCATAGTGGAGGGCGAAACTAGGTTCCTGGGCGAGGTCGGTGGACAAGCATGTCCACAAAATGACACTGATTTCGCCCGAATTGCGTAATCCTCCCTGTCAGAGAAGCCCCACGACCATAAATTGTGCAAATTCGGATATCCCGGTCGCAACTGGACCGAGTTTCCAGTACAGGAGGAATCGTCATGTAATTCGACACAGCTGGATGTCGGACTTCCTGACATTTGAATGGATCCCCACGTTACCAAAGGCGGGGTTTTTATGCAGTCCATGTCAGAGATCGTGTATGTCGTTCCTGCTCCTAAAACATTTGAATAAAGGAACAGGTACACTATTAGAAATCCAGTATTAAAGTAATACCAAGCGGTATTCATTGTATATGACTCTACCGAAGTGGTATTAATAAGAAATACTGAGTAGCATACCACAGTTTTACCATATCTGTATAAAATTTTTACGGGCCGGTGTAACTTTAATACCAAGTGGTAGCAACTTTTATACCGAGAAATCAATACTAGATTTCTAACATTTACGATTTAGTGAACATAATTAATTGACCATAGGGCCCCCAAAATCGCATGATTTTGATAAACTGGTTTTCGATTTTTCAAAACTTGGAAAACCCGTTTTCCATTTTTTCCCAACACGATTTAAACTAGGGTTGCACCGAGTACTCGGCCGAGTAGTCGGCCGAGTTTTCAGGTTTCGGCACGAACCAAACTCGGCCAAGTATTATGACACTTTAATTTACTACTTTTACGGTCATCATCATCTACCTATGTTGATAATGCCTATATAGTGCTCCTTAAACTCCCATGCATGTTAATTTTTGTTATTTAAGTTTATCGAGAGTGTCACCGAGTACTCGGCCGTACCGAGTATACTCGGTATGGCCAGTAAGTTTTTAAAAATACCCGTGGAACTTATATGTTCAATTAAGGTAGATATTTTACTTGAAGGTAACTCAAATAAATGGTATCCTAGTTATTTTTAAGTAAAAATATTCATTAATTGAACATACCAGTTACATTGGAATTTAAAAAAACTCACTGGTACTCGGTGTGGCCAAGTACTCGAACGGCCGGGTACTCGGTGCAACCCTGACTTAAACGCACCTTGGAAACCAGTTTTACACAAAATTATAAACATTTCCAACACAAATTTCTCACCAGAATGGACCACGTTATCGAACAGGGTAACATTTACTGGGATATTTCTCTTAATCCCGGCCCAATTCCGGGGGTCACATTGGTCAAAACATGGTCCGATTGAGACCACCGTGATGTTTTCATTTTCCACCAAAATGTCATTATCCCAACGATGTGCCGTCATTTTTCGGACATTCGTGAAGAAAAAACCTGTCTGAAGCCGGACGAAGTGTCCGTCACAGTTTTCCTGAGAATAAATGTTGACACAGTTCCCGTTCGTTTCAATTTCGTAGAGATGACCAGTTTCGGACTTAGGGATTTTTGGGATGCATTTGTCCACGTCAAAAATTTGGGCTAAATTGCTGAAGAGAAGAAAAACCTGGTTCAAAATTTTCAATATTGAAATTATAAATTGGATTTTTGAGATGAATTTGTCAATAAAAAAATTGGGCTACATAAGTACATAGTTAAATACAAAAACCAATTTTTGCAATTCCTCTTTCATAAAGTTTAAAGTCATACTTTAAAAATTATCTAAAAGCTTAGATATTTACAGAATTTGATCAAATTCTTAAGCTTGGATGCAAAATTTTATAAAATTTAAAACCCCACATAAAAAATTTGGTCAAACGTGACAACCTAGATAAAGAATTTAGAATCCTGGGTACGAAACTTAATAAAAATTAAACCTTAAAATAACTTTAGCAATTTTGGTCCTACCTCAGAAAAACTTTACAAATAAGGGGGTGATACTAATGAAAGTGACAGTTTTCCCCGCTCGTTTAATTATTTTAGGAGTCATGTTAAATTTTTCAAGCCTATTACATCTCATTCAGAATTTAATCAGCTTTCTGAATCCGAAAACCAAAATCCGTTATCTCTACTCGTTCTAAAATGAGAGCAAAAAATTCCGACAAAGTCGCAAAACGGTTTTGCCAAAACGCACCAAAATTTTTGTTTCAGGGATCGAAAAAACACTCGCAATTTTGTTCCAAATGGAGGAATCCATTGGAACAAAATTAACCGAGTACTGGACAGATACGAGGAACGCAGAAATGCGGATTTCAAAAAATCAGTTTGCCGACCTGCCCTCCTGGGATCGGTGAAAGTAGTGAAGAGGGTGGACATAGCTTTTCTCAAGAAATATTATTTATTATTTGCAAGACTTTGAATTCTAAACTCTAATTGAAAGATGTATCATAAAGAGATTGACCCCCTTCATCAAAAACAAGCATGTCATGGACATGACGACACCCCACTATGACAAGATTGTGACCGACTTTTTTCGAAGCAAAAATATCGATTTTGTTGAAAAAAGAGACGACGCTCTAAATATCCCTCAAGCGCGTCCAATTGAACGGTTTTGGGCCCTAATCAAGTAGGAATATTCCAATAGACAAAAACCACCCAAAAACTTGCGAGAATTTATACAGGTCATGACGGCAATAATAAAACTCGTTGGGGAAAATAGTGGCAAAACGTTCATGGCGACCGATCGCAAAAAGCTTCGCTCCATCGGAAGGGATGGAGTGTTTGGACCATTGGTGGACAATTATAAGTAGCTACAGTCCCCATCTATAATTTATATAAACTTCACCAAATTTCCTGTTACCATTCATTTTTTACACACAATAAACCAACTGCCACTTTCATTAGTATCACCCCCTTAAGTCAGGTTTTGAAATTTCGAAAATCATATTTACTCGTTATTCGCATAATTTAGTTTACTAATTACTGCATTTCATGAACTTAACAATCTTATCTCTTAATCACTGTATTCTTATTTTCTTACGATCGGACTCGTTCGTGACACGAATTCCAATCCTTGTAGCCGCCAGGTACTCAAAATTTGATGGAATTCCAAGATAGAGAAACAACACTGCCGAAACCGGAACTGTACTTCGATGCATTTCTAGCTTAAAATCGTTCCCAAAAAGTTGCAAATTTGACCAATTTCCAGTTCTGTTACGTATTTACATATGTATAAATTTGCATGCGTCACCTTCCAGGCCTGCCTCAACAGTGAATTACTTATCGGTTCGAGAACACTGGATAATTAACAAGTTACACAATACGTATACTTCTTTCATGGCTTGTATTGCATCTAAATACGTATTTGCATAGTACTGTGTGCATATATATATGTATGTATGTATGTATTAAGTACATATGAGCATATTAAATTATGAAAATTCTACAAAAGTAATTGACTTACCTGCAGACGTGTTTAATTATCTCGTCCGACAAGAATCGGTACATTTTTGGGTAGTAAAATACGTGCCTAGCAAGTCCAGGTAGCACTGATGATAAGAGAGTTTATATTCACTAGTGTACAAACGTTGAATTGAGACAATTGGTAAAACCGGTCTAGAAAAATATGTCTGCAGTCTAGTCACAACATGCTTAATATGCACATGCAAATATGTACATATACATATTTACATATATGCACTCTAAACAAAATTGAGTAAAAAAGAGGATGACACAACAGTCGAGGTAAAATTTGTCCAAAATTGAGTAAAATTTGCCCAACGTTGTGCGAACAAGGTGCATCATCATCATAATTTTACTCAATGTTGGACAAATTTTACCTCGACTGTTGTGTCATCCTCTTTTTTACTCAAGGTTGGGCAAATTTAGTACAACTTTTTTTAGAGTGTGCAAATACATCCTTCTTTTCCAAGGAAATAACTACAATTGTAATATATGAAATCACGTAATTGGGGCCCGACATGAAGGATGCGATCGATTTTTGGAGAATTTTGCCCCTTTACCCCACCATGTGACCTGTATGCCCCACGTCATATTTAATACGGACAGGACACGATGCTTCGACTCCGCTCAAATCGACCACGTGCTTTTTGCACATTCCTCATGCACATATGGTAGGTATCTATCCTGGATTACACGAATGCGTTTTAGGGCACATTTTATTGTTTCTCCCATCAGGAATTCCAATGCATAAATTGGTACATAATAACTAGTTCCTTGTCGACAAAATATTTTCTATCAGTTACATAAATACATAATTCGGTTAAAAATTCAAACTGGGCTTAGAGTTTACATAATTGGGATTTTTACTTCGAACAAGGATGTACTTATTTATATGTTTGTATAATCAATTAGTATAATAAGGTCAAAAATAACAATACAAACTTGTATTCTATTTTTCTGGAAAAATTTAAAATAATCAGAATGGGAATTTATCTCATTTAGGCAGTTTCATCCCAAATCCTGGGTGCTTTCTGTTGCTTTCCCTCATCCCCGTTATTTATTTCTCCTCTTCGGAAACTTTGGTTTATACGCATACACGCACAAATCAATAAATTTATCACCCTCTCACATGTTTTCCTCCCCCACTAGTTGAGCTTTCTTACACTAACTTTCTTACATGTTTCTAGTTTTTCCTTAAAATTTATCAGTCAAAACTTACGCATCTTGCGTCTAGTGTTTCTTTTTAATATTTGCGTTAATTCCCTATTTCTACCTTCCAATGTTGACCGCTCAGTTCAGGACTGCTGAGGAGATTAGGAGGGATCGCTTAATTTACGCCAAAGAGAGAAAAAGGGTAGAAGAGGTAAGTAAATACACACATTTAAAAATTCGGCAGAATCATATATTTATGTACTCATTTCTGGTATTAATTTTGTACAAATTTCCTACCGGATTTGAAGTATTTTTATTTTGATAAATTACTGGTTAAATTTTCAATAAATACGTCCAATCCGTAATGGATTATCCATTACTAAACGGTACTGGCCTTTATTACAAGTGCCAGTAGAGTTATTAATGTACCCTTGTTAGTAATGATTTATTACCGATTTTCGTTGAGTGCGCAGAAGTTCCGCACTGTAAAAATCCGGTACAGGCACATATACACATATGTACATATATGTAAATACATAGTAAATAAATATATCTGTACTTACATAAGCCATATCGGTATTGATTTGGTAGTGATTCCCTACCGGATTGGTAATGGCTTGCTTATACTTTGTAAATTTTTCAATAAGATAACATTACTAACCGGTAATTCCCATGATTATTTATTGTGTCGGTAGAGTCAGATAGTACATACATACTCCGGTCAATAACAATTTATTTAATTCCGGTTTTTAAGAGTAACTGAACAAATCAAGGAAGGCTTAAAAAGTGTATAATATGCAACTGTGAAATATCTGTGCATACTTTCGTTACATATTTGTATTGAATTATTTTCCAAGCTTCCACGCTGACAAGTTTATGGATATTTACATAATATTCTTTATATTTCAATCCTTGCGAAAAGTTTGCAAAAATATACATATTTCAAAAACGTACATAAATACGTATTTTGATGCTGTTTACAGGTTGTTTCACCCCTTCTGCTCATGCTCCACTTATTTAACATGCATTTTATTTGGTACTGTGAGCAAGGTAAGATTATAATTTGTGTGAAGTGTAGCACTCCGATTTGCTTGCAATTATATATTCCAAGTCAGTGAAACCAATGTTTCTTCAGACCGTTGGTCAAAAAATTGGTTGGGAAGAAAATTACCATTTCCATTTTCGGCAACGCGCCGCCGCCGCCGAAAAGTTTGATTTTCTATTCCTTCGACACCGCGACGCCGCCCCGCGCCGCCGAAAAATCACAAAAAACTAGCGCCGCCGAAAATTTGTCGGCGTCGACCTATGTATTGCATTGTTAGGTTTAAGGTTAGCGTGAAAATGTGGTGAAGTCACATATACAAACACTCCGTGATGGTATTTATTTGGCGATAACTTTTTCCCGAGTTGGTAATAGTTTTATTCTCATATGATGAGTTTAATAGGACTTGGTCCAAGTCCAAGTGGACTTGGTCCAAGTCCAAGTGGACTTGGACTTGGACCAATCCTAATGACAAATCCTAAGTTTAAATTACCATAACAGTGAATATTATTCACTATACTGTAATGCCGGTTACCACGGCACCGGCTAAGTCAAATATGCACTCCGGTTGGTGATGATTCAATTCAATACCGAGTTTGCTAAGAGTGTACATTGTATGCTCAATACTATTAAACATTTTAATCGAGTACATCAATTAAACACTTCATTTTGTACTTAGATCGCGAAGAAAAAATCAATGCAACCGGCATCTTGGTTCTAACCGGGATCACAGAATTTATCGGGATTTTCTATTGTTTCTTTGTATCTTGGAACTGGGTACGAGGCAAAAGTACGCAGCAAGTGAGTAAAAAAAATATTTCATTTGGAAATAAATCGAATCCTTATTCACGCAAATATCTGTTTGCTCTGTTTTTTATAATTATTTAGTAACTTTTAGACTCAATATAATTCAAGGATTACTTATTGGCACTTACATAAATACGTATTAGTAGCAAACACACTTATTATTATGACCATAGAAAAAAATACTTGAATTATGGTTCTTTTAAAAAATAGTGACATAAAAATCTGACAGTTTGATGGCGTGTAAAAAAATTATGATTTAAATTTAGAAAATATTTAATGACTTCCCCTCTATTTTTGGATTGAACATAAATTTCACAAAATTCCTTGTTTCATGTATGTGCGCATGTCTTTATTGCGAAGATATTTAGTTAAATGGACGTTAGCCCTTGCAAATTTAAGTCCTTATTACACATATGCATGTTCAAAACTCAGAACTCAACGAATCCCGAGGCCCGAGATACAAACTATGTACACTGTAATAAACTTGGAGACCAATCGACCCCCGACGGAGCTATGTACTACAATACTCTATTTACGGGTAACGATTTAAGAGACGTTTTGTCACCAATAGGAAGTAGGTAAGTCAAACCTCGTGTACCAAACACACGTGATTTAAAGAATTTTAGAATTTTTAGCTTACCATCTACTTTTTTTACATGTAAGTATTGAACTTTTTAGGTGACAACATCACGTGTACATGAGTTTTTGATTTATCTACCTAGAACGCTATAGTGCATAGCTCAATCAACCTCTCAATAATGTTTTGACAAAATTGTTACCGGCGGAGATACTACACAACTCTACCGTGTGGTAACACTATAGTAACCAATCGTCTTCTGAGGGTAAGAAATTATCTCCGTTATCAGTAATATTTGTATTACCTGAGCGCTGACATTGGGGGCTGAGCAGGATTTAGCCTCTGTATATATGTTACCCCTCGGTAATAAATTATTACCCAAATGGTAGAATTGCATATTATCTCCACCGGTAACAATATCATCAAAAAATTGCTGAAAATGCAGGTGACGATTTGTCTCCAAATTGTACATAATTCATAATATTTTTCAGTCTTCCAATATTTATTAATGCGATCAAAATTTAATACGAAAATTTATAAAATTTATTGGATCACAAATTCATCTTTAAGTAGTGCTTAGTTACCATGAAATTATTAATTAATGGGTTTCTTATCTTTGTCCCCCCTCCCACAGATTTTACAACCCTCCCTCAGAATCTTATCCGTTCTAGCGTGGTTTTCATATCTCACTTGGTTTATGACCGTGTTCTACATCGTCAGAATGCCGCTACGCCCTCCATCCGTCCAATTTAATCCGTTTCTTGTGATACTCTGGTTGGCTGTGACGTGCCTCCTCTGCGGATACAGATTGTACACGAGGAGCTTACTCCCGCTTAACGGCGAATCACCTGACTCACCTGTTCCTCCGGACGAGTTGAGAATCTCTGGGGATGAAAATGCACAATTGGTTACTCCACCAGTTCCGGTGACGTTGAGCGATGGGGCATTCGCAGTACTGGTAAACTTACAACAATCTCGGAATGTCGTGATAGCCCTGATGCCAAGAGGGGAAACTAGGGGGGAGCTAATGACAGGAAAAGTTATCTTGTTAAATTAACAAAACCTTTATTCGAGTGTTAATAGACATCAGTTAACGTTGGATTAGGGGACTCGTCGCCTGTGACGTCACAGGTTTAAAAATCTGAATCGTTTTTTCGCATTTCTCAGCTCTGGGAATTGGTCAATTTTTAGACCAGGTCAGTACCAATATATTAAA